AGTACACCCCCCCCCCCCCTGTTGCCTACCAAACTTGCAGGAAAACTTGTCGCCGTTCATGTTCGAGGTACCTCGCGCCTTCGGGGCGTTCGACAGCCTCTTCAACAACCTCGGCACTACGCAGGCGCCAACAGCCAGCGACTACGCCGTCTTCTTGAAGGTGAGGTTGACAGGCACACCCTGGCCCAGAAGGGTACTGTGGCGTTGTTGACGGAAGAACTTGGTGCGTGCGATGGAGGTAGCTGTGAGTCGCTGCCAAACTGAAACTGCAGATTTTTACACCCGTGGCTTGGCTTGACTTGACGTGACGTCACAAAAACTCCACGTGTGGCTTGACGTTGATGTTGACTTGGCTTGACTTAACTTGACCTCACACAACCCGCTGTCTTGGCTTGACTGACTTGACTTGACTAAACTTGACCTGACGAAAGCCCCACGTATGGCTTGGCTTGGCTTGGCTTGGCTTGGCTTGGCTTGGCTTGGCTTGGCTTGGCTTGACGTGATTTGACGGCAGGAGCTCGCTGGGGAGTGCGGTTCTCAGGCCCTTAACCCCAACGAGCTGGGAGCGGTGCTCAAGGTGCTCTCGTTGCTCGCGACCGAGCTGGAAGTCGACGCCACCTACGAGCTCTCTACGGTAAGCGGCAGTTCTGCCAACTTGCTCTTGTCCAGTGCACGTATTGTAGTTACTGTTGTGTGTCCGAGACACCGTGCCGTAGACCCCGAGACGACTCGGTCTCACTTGTACTTTCTTTTCTATTTTTTCTAAGGACGACGGTGGTTCCCACACCTCATGTATCGTACTCCGTACGTCGTTCCGCATACACAGGACATCTACGTGCCCGACGAGAACTCGGAGCTAGTCCCGTGGGGCCTGTGTCTCCACAACGACAGCCCGTCCTTGGCGGGCAGGGTAGACCCCTCCCGGCTGCGCTGCTTGCACCCGAGGGTGTCGCTGGAGGACTGCCGCCGCCTGCGCATCCCATCGGTCTCTCAGGTGATCTACGTGATCTACGTTTTGTAGGGGGATCTACGTCCATTATACAGCAGTACGTACCGTGGTCTTGTCTTGGCGAATCTGCGGTGAGGGTAGTCGGGAGAGCCTCGGTCTCTCAGGGGGAGCTACGCTTGATGTATCGGATCTACGGGGTCTACGTCCACCCTACGGCAGTACGTACGGTGGCTGCCTGACGTATCTACGATGAGGGTATCTAGTCGGAAGAAACTCTAGAGGCTAGAAAGCCTGGTGGTAGTTTTTGTGCTGCTACTGCTGTTACTGATTTTTGTCGACGCTTGTGTCTATTGTAGCTCTGCCCGAGCTCCTGCCGCGTGTGTCGGGTGTGTGGGGATGTGACCCTCTTTAAGAGGTCGTCTCCACGGTACCCCCCCCCCCCCTCTAAAGCCTTCTTGGTTGTATTTTTCTTTTTCTTTTTTCACTTCGTGAAAGAGGAGGGTGGAGCTATGCTTCCAGCCTGGTGTCGTAACCTTATGTTCGTTTCTTGAAATATCTCCTTTGTATCCTTTTTTTGCTACCAAGTTGGTGAAAGAGGAGGTGGAGCTTTGGTTCCAGTCACTTGTCTATGTGTTTTGTTTGTTTCTTGAAACCGTTATTTCTCAAAGTAACTTTATTTTCATTTCCAAATTGGTAAAAGAGGAGCTGGAGCTGTGCTTCCAGCCTCGTGTCGCAAATTATGTATCTTACAAGTTCTCTCTTTTACTTCTTTTTTTTTTTGTATGAAGGTGGTGAAAGAGGAGCTGGAGCTGGGCTTCCAGCCGGAGATGGTCCAAGGAGAAGACTCCGAGCAGGCGCAGCTATCCGCCACGCTGTCCTCTCGAGAGCTCAGCCTAGCGGTAGCCGTCCTCGTGAAGAGCTTCTCCCCGGAAGACACCTCCGTCGGCATCGGCAGCACCGACAACCCTGACGCTAGCGCCAACGCCGGAGGCGGGGCGACATTCGAGGCCCGGGCGAACGCGGCGGCGGCCAGGCTGGAAGGGTTCTCGGTGGTTTTTGTGAAGGAGCTTAGAAGCAGGTTCTTGAGAACCGGGGAGCGGAAGGACGGGTTCCGAATGGAGGAGGACATTACGGCTGTTAACGGGGCCAAGGGAAGCGTGTTCTTTGTGCGGGAGGTGAGTTTGGTGGGGGGGGGGGGGGGGGGGGT